TCCGCCTCCGCCTCGCCTCCGCCTCCCTCCTCCCTTCCTCCTCCTCTCCTCCTCCTCCTCCTCCTCCTCGCCTCCTCCTCCTCCTCCTCCTCCTCCTCCTCCTCCTCCCTCCTCCTCCTCCTCCTCCTCCTCCTCCTCCTCCTCCTCTCTCTCCTACCTGTGGCAGTGGTGGTGGAAAATGGGCCCATCGTCCTCAGGAGCTGGTACAGCTCGCCCTTGGCGCAGTACTCCAGCAGCAGGTACACGGTGTCGTCGTCTTCGAAGTGCTTGTAGAGCCGCAGGATGTTCTCGTGCTTCAGGTTTCGCTGCACCTGGATCTCCCTCTCGACCTGGTCGATGAGATCGCTCTCGATGACCTCCACCTTCTGCATTGTCCGCTGGCCCCTCTTGGGCCACCAATCGTGTGACATCTCGTTCCCTACTATAGCCACCCCCCTATACACTCGGCACAAGCATGGAACACGTGAAGAAATTACCCTGCGACGTACCCAACCCAATGGTATCAAGTGGCAAGAGGAGTAGGGAAACGTTAGCAGGATCAATGACAGCGCATGCGCAGCGATGTGTAGTACAAGCTACATGTGATACGTAATGTTGCACGTCTTTCAGGACAGCAATCGATAAGACGAGGGATATGTCCCAAGGCTTGTTAACAATAGCGGGTGCTGGATCGAAGGACAGGAGATTGACGAACCTAATAGGAAGGGGCAATGAGCCATCGCGGCAGCAGCAGCAGCGTGAATGCATAGGGTGACAGGAGGACTAGGGCGGCGCTGATACAAGAGGTTGGAGGAAGCAAGAGACTGCTTCGTTGTTGCAGGAGCTCGAACAACGCATGCCTGCTGCCTGATCACAGGATCAAACATGCTTATATCGAGTGCAAGAAGCGAGCGAGACCTAGCTCTCTCGCAAGCTTCTCTGCCACCTTCCTGCACGTTGCAGTTCGGGAACTGAACTTCTGCAGTTTTCTCCGCCAGGTCTGCTGGTGGGCCGCGGGCAAGAAAGTCAAGGCCGGGGTCGCGCACCATCAATAGGTTGTCTATCGTCGTCGCCCTGCACAGCATCACGTAGAGGTGCAGCCATAGAGCGGCCCCCCAGGGACAGCGCTGCAGATCGCAACTGCCCAGGGATGGCGAGGTCTAATCTTAATCTGTGTGTTGCCTCACTCCGCTGGGCCTACCAGCAGCCCTCGAATGTAGCGACAGTTTCGCAGATCGCAGCCCCCCAAGGATGGCGAGGTCTAATCTGAATCTGGGTGGTGCCCCACCCCGCTGGACCCACCAGCAGCCCTCGAATGTGGCGACAGTGTCGCAGATCGCCGCCCCCAGGGATGGCGAGGTCTAGTCTGAATCTGCGTGGTGCCTCACTCCGCTGGACCCACCAGCAGCCCTCGAAGGTGGCGACAGTTTCGCAGATCGCAGCCCCCCAGAAAGGCGGGGGTTAATCTGAATCTGCGTGGTGCCTGACTCCGCTGCACGCACCAGCAGCCCTCGAAAGGTGTGACAGTTTCGCAGATCGCCCCCCTCCAGGGATGGCGAGGTCTAATCTGAATCTGCATGGTGCCTCACTCCGCTGGACCCACCAGCAGCCCTCGAAGGTGGCGACAGTTTCGCAGATCGCAGCCCCCCAGAAATGGCGGGGGTTAGTCTGAATCTGCGTAGGGCGTCACTCCGCTGGACCCGCCAGCAGCCCTCGAAGGTGGCGACAGTTCCACAGATCGCAGCCCCCCAGGGATGGCGAGGTCTAATCTGAATCCCCGTAGGGCCTCACTCCGCTGGGCACCCCAGCAGCCCTCGAAAGTGGCAACAGTTTCAAAGATCGCAGCCCCCCAGGAATGGCGAGGTCTAATCTGAGTCTCCGTAGGGCGTCACTCGGCTGAGCCCCCCCAGCAGCCTTCGAAAGTGGCGACAGTTTCAAAGATCGCAGCCCCCCCAGGGATGGCGAGGTCTAATCTGAATCCCCGTAGGGCGTCACTCCGCTGGGCCCCCCAGCAGCCCTCGAAAATGGCGACAACTTCACAGATCGCAGCCCCCCAGAGATAACGTAAAAGGCAAGAGAAAAGAAGAGGAGGAGCGAAGAGAGGGGCGGGAAGGAAGGAAGGTGGAGACCACAGTGCTCTATTCAAAACGAGTACCCAACGCAGGAGGGTTGGGAACAAAAAACAATTGTAATCAGAACAAAGATGATAATGATGAGGATGATGATACCACTGAGAAGAACAATAAACATAATGGCGCGGCGCTGTCTGGGTTTGGGGCGACACGGGTAGAATTGCGGGAGGTTTCACAATCCGCTCTAACACTCCAGGTATATTAAAACGCATTGGGTCCCTGCACTTTCTCAGCGTTTGCCCATGCTTGAGTTGTAAATCTGCAGGCGCAATCCATATGTACATATATAGATATATACAGTAGGACAGCAAGCATACGGACGGCGGGAATGGTTGAAAAACGTGCCTCGGCGGCGGCCGCGGCGACCCGCCATGTCCTGCCAGCGTGTAGCGTGTCGATCCGCTACGCGGGGCAGGAAGTCGGGAAAGGCTCGAAAGGCTGACGCGTAGGGGCTGGAAACTGTTCGGCACGTCGCGCGGCAGCGACACGCTCCTGACTGTATGAATGAGGGCGGAGGGAAAGGGGGGGGGGAGCTCGAGCTCACCAGAGAGAGGCGGCGGAGTCGGGGGGATGGACCCGAGCTCACTGGGTGGGGCGGGGTCCGAGCAGCACGTCTCCCTGACGACGCCTCCAAGAACACCTAAGAAGGCAACCAGAAAGTCCCAGGACGCCGCCAAGACAACGCGAGGGCCCCTTACGTCCGCAACATGCCGGCAAGCGTATCACATGCCGCTTGGCACTAGACCCCTGAGAGGCAGAAGCCATCAACACATGATTGTCGAGTGCGTAGTGTTGTGCATGCCGGACGTTCCGGCCTACTATGGACACAACATGGGCTCCATACGTCCTCGTGGGCGGGGCCCAGAAGCCCCAAAAAGACCCCATTCCAAAGATATCCGCAGGATGACCCCAAAACCCCGTGCTGGGCTCAGAGACGGCCCCGACACGGCTCCAACGCGGACCAATACCTTCCCAAGACGGCCCCGATGCTCCCCAATCGGTTTTAAGGCATTACGCAGCAGCCACATCACGCCAAAGGGAACGCCTGGGAGGCGACATCCATCCGAGGCCGCAATCCCTGGAGCATTTGCGGGCTGATGTCCCACCGTGGGGCGCGCTAGGACTCCAACCCCGCGGGCTCCATAAAGACAGACATCCGACGATGCGACGGTGTGGTGTTTTCAACCCGCGCCCCAAGAACTGCCGACCCCTTCCCCGGAGAAAGTGTTTCGTCTCGGATCCGTTCATGATGGCCCTGGGGACCGCCGAAATCTGGGAAGAACGCCAGGACAGAAAACACCACATCGTCGGAGATCTGAGAGGGGACCGACGGATGTGACGCAAGCCCGCCTGATCTTGAGGGCGTACACGTCATCCGTCCCCTTGCGGCGGATCCTGCCGGCGGCGCGGAGGGAGCAGGGTGACGGGGGCCTCCTCAGAAGAGCCTCAGATCGATCCCCCAGGCGGTGGCTAGGGATTAATCCCCGCTCGGACCCTCGTCCAGCCCGACAAACATTCGCTCGAAACGTATTCCTGGACTCCTCCCCAGTCCCTCCTAGCTTGTTTTCCGAGCTGCGCATTGTCAATCACCATCGAATCGGGCAAACGGAGCGAGTCGAGCATGCGTGGGCTGCATCGGCACGGAGTCGAGATCGAAGCGAAACGGCCGTGCCCGGATGCACAGCGCCACGCAAGCATCGGGTCGCATCGAATCGTCGGTGTATCGGACTCAAATCGGATCGGGTCAAAATGAACTCTGGACTGGTGACCAGTCGTCTGTCTTCCCGGTCGCAACAGTGTTCTCCGGCGGTAATTCGGCACGATGAGGTCCCCCAAGAACGCGCACTCGGCCAGGCGCTGCTGCTGGAAAGCACCCCGAGGTAAGAAAGCCGCCGAGCAGCCATGAGAACACAGACCAAGACCTCAAACTTCCTCGAACCGCGAACCTCCCAGCCCGACCAAAATTCGCTCGATGTGTAGTCTGGGGACCCCCCATGGGGCCCCTCGTCGCCCATTGCCGAGATGGCGCCCAGCCGTAGCCGCTATACGGCCCTTCGGGGAGGCCCTGGCAGAGAGCGCGCGCCTGTTTCCCAACCGATGGGAAAGGGACCCAGCGGCGCGGCAGCTGACCAGGGAAGTAGAGGAGGAGGAGGAGGAGGAGGAGGAGCAGGAGGAGGAGGAGAAGGAGGAGAACGAGGAGGAGGAGGAGGAAGAGGAGGAGGACGACGAGGAGAAGGACGAGGAGGAGGAGGAGGAGGAGGAAGAGGAAGAGAACGGAGGAGGAAGAGGAGGAGGAGGCGGAGGAGGAGGAGTCCGCCTGTATGCCGCATGTATGCAGGTTTTCGTTCCCCGAGAGGAGCAGCGAGGACGCCAAACGAGGAACACGAGAAACGTTCAGATCCTTGAGAGACGGACCCCGTGGAGGAGGTCCAGCTCCTGCTTTTCCTCCTCCGTCCTCTTCCTCCTCCTGCTTTTCCTCCTCCTCCTCCTCCTTCTCCTCCTCCTCTGCCTTCCCCTCCTGATCCTTCTCGTCGTCGTCGTCCTCCTCCTCCTCCTCCTCCTCCTGCTCCTCCTCCTCCTCCTCCTCCTCCTCCTCCTCCTCCTCCTCCTCCTCCTCCTCTGGCGCGCTCGCCAGTCCTGCGCACGACGCCGAAGGACCCCTTGCCCAGTTGGCGCCCGCCTTCTGCGTCGAGGACCTCTGCGGGGGGGGGGGGGCGAATGAAATATACACATACGATGACAATTCTTGCGATCAAACATGTTAGAATACATGGGCCCCAAACCGTGATTTCTACGCGGTGCCATCCCTGTGGTGCGATCAATGTGGCGCAATCCAGGTGGCGCGATCCGTGCTGTGCCATCGATGTAGCGCAAAGCAACGGAAAGCAATCATACTTCCAACATAATAGAATTTCCCGTTGTATGGCGTGACATTACAAATGTGGAACAATCTGAATCGGAAGACTTGGCTTCGCCGGTGACTCCCTCGGAATGTTTGAAATCAAATGATGTTGGCTGACGTTCGCTGTCAGGCAATATCAACCGAAACTTGATTTTATATAAACTTGAATTATAAGCACACACACATATATATATATACACACAAAAAACAGGACATTGTTTGATACCCTCTGAAATGCACGCCTGCCCAGATCATTGGATTCAAGGCTTCGGAAGGGGTCACACGTGAAACTTGGTTTTCGATTCTAGAAACTCCCAGTTGTCAAACAAAAGATCGCAATCCATAAAACAGGTTGGAGAAGAGATGCTGGTATAATTCCGGTGAGGCCAACCACGGAAAGAAACCTATTGAAATCCCCTCCAGCAAGGACTCTCATTGACAACCACTTCGAAGGGAACATTATTGGAGACCTCGGCACAAGGAGTCCGAGTGACATCCTCTATACACAGGTATTCGACTGATACCACCGACAACAGGAATCCCTATGAATTCCTCCACGAATGGAATACAATCGAACTCCTTCCTAAAAAAAAGAAAAATACTGAAATCCCGTGCGGCAGAACATCCACATGAGATCCTCTCCAAAAGGAACTCCTTGTGGCATCGTCTACAACATGGACGGTATTGAAATCGCCTGCAGAAGCTATCCCGTTGAAATACTCTACACAAGGACTTCGATTGAAACCACGGACAAAAGGAACCCGATCGACATCCGCAAACAAAGACTCCATTGAAACCCTCCGCAAAAAAAACAAATCCTACTGAAATCCTTTGCAAGCGGGGTCCTGTTGAAAATCCTTTTCTCTGAAAAAATGCAATGGAATCGCCGACAAAATGAATTCCCATTGAAACCCGCCACATAAAGGACTCGGCTGAACCCCTCTACAAAACGGCATCTGCTTCATCATACTCCAACAGAATATTGGGGTTCCTTTTTTTGGGTAGACAAAAAATGCTTTGTATATAAGGGTGTCTGCTTTTGAAAATTATCCGGGCGAAGGGCCCAACCATAAGCAATTGTTCGTAACGCGTTGTGGGTGTCGCTTTCGGTGGGGCTCCCTATGGGGCCATGAAACGCTGCCTTGGGCGGGGGGACCGCATGCAAACTGCGCCACTGGGGCGGGCTTTCGGTGGAGCTCCCTATGGGGCCATGAAACGCTGCCTTGGGCGGGGGAACCGCATGCAAACTGCGCCACTGGGGCGGGCTTTCGGTGGAGCTCCCTATGGGGCCACGAAACGCTGCCCTGGGTGGGGGACCGCATGCGAACTGCGTCACGGGGGCCTTCGGTGGAGCTCCCTATGGGGCCACGAAGCGCTGGACTGTGTGGGGGAACCGCATGCGAGAGCAGCCACTGGGGCTTTCGGTGGGGCCCCATATGGGGTCTCGAAACGCTGCCCAGGGTGGGGGAAACGCATGCGAGAGCAACCGCTGGGGCCTTCGGTGGAGCTCCCTATAGGGCTACGAAACGCTGCCCAGGGTGGGGGAAACGCATGCGAGAGCAGCCACGGGGGCCTTCGGTGGGGTTCCTTATGGGGCCACGAAGCGCTGCCCAGGGCGGGGGAAACGCATGCGAGAGCAACCACTGGGGCCTTCGGTGGGGTGCCCTATGGGGCCACGAAGCGCTGCCCAGGGTGGGGGAAACGCATGCGAGAGCAGCCATTGAGATCTTTGGTGGTGCTCCCCATGGGGCCGCGATGCGCTGCCCAGGGTGGGGGAAACGCATGCGAGAGCAGCCACTGGGGCTTTCGGTGGAGCTCCCTATGGGGCTACGAAGCGCTGCCCAGGGCGGGGGAAACGCATGCGAGAGCAGCCACTGGGGCCTTCGGTGGAGCCCCCTATGGGAAGCGTTGCCCAGGGTGGGGGAAACGCATGCGAGAGCAACCACTGGGGCCTTCGGTGGAGCCCCCTATGGGGCCACGAAGCGCTGCCCAGGGCGGGGGAAACGCATGCGAGAGCAGACACTGGGGCCGTCGGTAGAGCTCCCTATGGGGCTACGAATCGCTGCCCAGAGTGGGGGAAACGCATGCGAGAGCAACCGCTGGGGCCTTCGGTGGAGCTCCCTATGGGGCTACGAAGCGCTGCCCAGGGCGGGGGAAACGAATGCGAGAGCAGCCACTGGGGCCTTCGGTGGAGCTCCCTATGGGGCCACGAAGCGCTGCCCAGGGCAGGGGACACGTACGCGAGAGCAGCCACTGGGGCCTTCGGTGGAGCTCCCTGTGGGGCCACGAAACGCTGCCCAGGGTGGGGGAAACGCATGCGAGGGCAACCCCTGGGGCCTTCGGTGGGGCTCTCTATAGGGTCACGAAGCGTGTGAGAGGTGTGCCGGGGGCAGAGGCAAGGAGGGGGAGGAGGGAGGAGGGGGGGAGGAGGAAGGAAGGAGAGGAGGCGCGGGGCGCTGTCTTTTCAAAGCGAGGACCCAACACCACAGGATGGTTGGGGAAAAAAACTCAAAACAACAGTTTGATGAACCAGGTTTCGCCTGTGAGATCCAATGATTCCGGCTGGCGTGCGCTTTCGGTGAGCATCCAGCGATTGATGAAATGCTTCGGTATAAAAAAAAGCATTTGTCAAACATCAATGACAAACAAACGAAAAACACTGATTCGCTCCGCACGCGCTTAAAACGCATGCCTGCCGGAATCGTAGGCTTGCAAAAGTTCAATGGGAATAACACGCAAGTGAAACCTGGCCCTCGATTTAACAACTCTGTTAAGGAAGAACCATGAAAAAAGAAATTCGATAACATAAAACAGTGGGGCAACATATTATGGTAGAACTCCGATGCTGACCACAACACAAAGAAACGTATTGACATCCTCGACCAACAGGAATCCGATTGAAACCCCCTACAACAGGAACTATAGTGAAGTCCTTGACCAAGAAATCAGTCTCGAATCCTCTACAGAAACAATTTTTCTGAAATCATGGAGACATGGGGCCCGATTGAAATCCACTCGATCAAAGAATCCCACCGAAATCAAAAAGAACGTATTGACACCCCTTACAAAAATAATATGATTGAAACCCTGTGCAAACGCAATCCTTGTGAAATCGCGCGCAAAAGGGAGTTCTAGTACAATCCTACACAAAAGCAATCCTTTTTTGAAATCCTCTACAAAATACAGCGTTTACTGAAATCCCTTACACAATGAGTTCGGATGAATTTATTTTACATCAGGCACCCTGTTGAAATCGTGTACAAAGGGGACGTATTGAAATCCTTTTACAAGAGGAGTCATATTAACATCCTCGACACAAGGGAACCGAATGGAAGCCTCCACAAAAAGGGCTATCATTGAATCCTCGTCTGAAGGACATCTATTGAAGCCCTTCACACACGGAGTTCTAATGAAACCCTCTATGGCAGGAGTTCTATGGAACCCCCTTGAAAACAAGGAATTCCATTGTGCTTCACCACGAAAGGTTTTATGCAAACATCCACTGCTATTCCACTGCAGGAAGATGTGCTCGATCCCCCACCACATCGCCCCCACCCCCCTACTCGTTCTCCTGAACCCCCTCCCGCTCCCTGACCGCTCTCCTGAAACCCCGACCCCCCTCCTCGCTCACCCTCACGCACACCCCTCTCCCCCGTATTGTTTCTTACACACAGAAACCCGGGAGTTAGGTGTTCGCTTGGTTGTTGCTTGCACCAATGCTGCTCCCGCTGAAGCGCTGGCCTCCTTTTCGGGCTTCCATTCGTTCCGAACCGTGCTCCCGCTGCAACGTTGGCCTCATTTCCACGCTTCCGCCCGTTCCGACTCGTGCTCCCGCTGCAGCGCTGGCCTCATTTCCGCGCTTCCGCTCGTTCCGAATCGTGCTCACGCTGCAGCGCTGGCCTCATTATTTCCAGTGCCATGCCACGGCATGCAATGCGATGCTATGTGGTGTTCCGCTGTTGCCATGCCTTCAGCTGCAACGCTAGGACATACAGTGATTGACTACGCAGTGCCACGCCATGCTATGTCATGTTCTGTGTTGTGCCGCTGTCCGGTGCCAATATTTGCGTTGTAATGCTTTGTGATGCAATTCTTCACTACGCAACGCCACGCCATGCGTTGAGATACAACGCTTTGACGTGCTCTTCTGCGCCCTGCCATGCTGTGTTCTACGATGCATCGCGCACCTTCTCGGGATCATTGCCCTGCTCGTCATCCGACTGAGCAAATAGAGAGGAGATCTACGCCATAGTAAGGGATGGGAGGGAGGGGTAGGACGTCAGATATGACGCGAGCGCACCTAGCTTGCCTCCCCTCCTCCTCTCTCTCCCTCCTGACCCCCTTCCCTCCTCCCAATTGGCACTGCCACATGGTCATACTCATACTCGTCCCCCTTCCCCCTCATTCCTCTCCCCCCCTTCGCCACCCGCCCCCTTGCTCCTCCTCCCGCCACCCTCCTCCTCCTCCGACGGACGTCGACGATGGCGACGCCGACGACGCTGACGAACGCCCTGAGCTTCGACACCGTCCAGCGCCACCTCCAGACCACGACAGCGCCGACGACGCAAACGCCGACGACCTCCCTGAGCCTCGAACTCGTCTGGCGCCACCCGTAGCCGCTCGACGCCGACGAGCAAGACACTCGATGATGTGCTTGCTTCAGTCCGCGGTTCCAGTGAGGTCCCGCCCCCTTTCCTGGGGAAGAGATGCCGTGTCGGCTCCATGTTTTGCCAGGGCCCGAAAACCAGCCCGCAGGGAACGCGACCGCGGAAGTTTGGGTGACCCAGAAGGGGGGCCAGCTGAAAGAGGGTGCTGCAATAGATTTGGGGCAATTGTATTGAACATGTACTGCGCCAGAGAATTGTTTTGGATTGTATTGCAACTATTGTGCTACCCGCGAAAGTGCAGCAATCGATTTGCGCCCCGGAATGTATTGCACGCCCCAAATCTAGAACCAGATCTTTTCAACCACCCACTTGAAGCTGGACCCCCTTTTGGGTCAACCAGAACAGCGCGCCGCGATTCGAACAGCACCACGGCGTCGGAACTCACAGGGCCCGCGCCGACGCCGCAAGCGGCCGCCCCCTCCGAGCCCGTCGACGCCGACAACCCCCCGCCCCGGACGACGCCGACGCCGACGACGACTACGACGCCGACGACGACGCCGACGCCGACGCCGACGCCAACGCCGACGCCGACGTCGACGTCGACGTCGACGCCTACGACGACGACGACGACGACGACGACGAACGCGCCGACGACGACGACGCCGACGCCGATAAACCCAAATCTCCGACGGCGTGATTGCTGCGCAACGAGACCGGTGGTTGGGGCACGCCCCTGGTGGTCGTGGTGCCGCGTGGGACGCACAAGGAAATACTGGTACTGTCTGTCCTCATCGGGAGAGTGCGCCCGACCCGAACTTGTCACACAACCCTCTTGCAGCAGATAGTTTCCCGAGCGGTGCGGCCAGGAAGCACCCACAAACGAGCATACTATGCCAAATCCTTGGGCGCGCCCGCGTCGCCTCTTTGGGGGGCCGACGCACACACAGTATTAGCATGTCTGGGTGACGCCGCCCGCGTTCCTAGTGGCAACCTAGATGGGGTCGGAGTTAGATGGGGTCGGAGGATCGCACCGCATCGCCGATACATCGGCGATGCATCGGCGATGAATCGGTTATGAACCGGCGATGCGTCGTCGACGTCGGCGATACATCAGCGATGCCGACGTGAAGCAAGTCGGGGCCCACATCGAGCGATGCATCGGCGATGCGGCGGGATCCTCCGACCCCATCTGCTCCGAGCCCATCTGGGAGGCGCAGAGCTTGGTGGGCCTGTTTTCCACCACCACTACCAGAAGCTGGAGGGGGGAAGGAGGAGGAGGAGGAGGAGGAGGAGGAGAAGAAGGAGGAAGAGGAGGACGAAGAGGAAGAGGGGTAAGAGGAGGAGGAAGAGGAGGAAGAGGAGGAGGAGGAGGAGGAGGAGGAGGAGGAGGACACCTCCCCCTCCAACTTATGGTGGTGGTAGTGGACGACGGGCCCATCACCTCCCCTCCAAAACCCGGAGCCTCGAACTCGTCCAGCGTCACCTCCAGCCCCGGAGAGGGCGCGCGGCAGCAGGCCCGGCCGCGCTCGGCGCCGCCCTCGCGGCCCTCGATCGGCGCCTCCCCGAGGAGGAGGGGGCGGGCGCGCGCCGATGCGAGAAGAACAACAACAAAAAGAAGGCAGAACCATGAATCTTCGTCGTCGCCGCCGTCGTCGTCGCCGCCGCCGTCGTCGTCGTCGTCGTCGTCGTCGTCGTCGTCGTCGTGGACGGCGTTGGCGTCGTCGTCGTCCCCCTTCAGGGTCGGCGGCACCGGCCGTAAGGCCTTCGCAGTAACAAAAACCTGCATCAACACAATCCTTTGGCGCTCCGCGCGGAATTCTCGGATCCGCGCTGGGTCCCCCTGACGGCGCCTCGGGCGCCGCCAGAAAAGGGGGTCCAGCGCATATCCCTCGCCTCCCTCGCCTACCTCGCCTCGCCTCTCCTTGTTCTTCGAGATTCCCCTCGCCTCCCAAGCCCAAAGATCCGACGCTGCAACCAAAACACTTGTTGGAGCGGGCAGTGTTTGGCTGTCCTCGGCCTCCGGGGGCCCTCGCCGGACCTGGGGACCATCAAAAAACGACTCAGGACGACAGAACTGGCCCTATAGGAAGTGGTCCAAAAATCCCTGGAGCCCACGGGTCGAAAGAAAATGGAGCAGCCGGATGTCTGAACGCCGACCCGTCGGGGTGTGTGAGACGCTGCCGTCGTCGTCATCGTCGTTGTCGTCGTTGTCGCCGCCAGTCCCAGGGAAATCGAAAAACAAAGAAAAGGAACGTCGTAGATGCGTCGATTCCATGCCCTTTATCCTTTCCCTGCGGGGGAAGGGGGGGCTGGGCGGGTGGGGAAAGGGGTGGGATGGGGGGTGGGGTGAAGGGGGTCCCGGATCAGGATGCCGCCCCGCCCCCCCATGGGGCCCTGGCGGGTTCCGGAGGAGGTCGCCAGCGGGGGTTCCAGGGGAGGTCCCGCTGGCAGGGTCGGCGGCACCAGCCGTAAGGCCTTCGCCACAGCAGCGAGGCGGGAGGAAGGAAGAGCTCAAAGGCGGAAGGAATGTGGGAGGGAGGAGCTCGAAGAGGAGATGGGGGGGGGCCGGAGGGAGGAAGGATGGAGGAGCAGCGAGGCTGGAGGAAGGGAAAGCTCAAGGGCGGGAGGAGGGTGGGAGGGAGAAGCTCGAAGGGGAGCTGGGGGGGCAGGAGGGAGGAAGGAGGGAGGAAGGATGGAGGAGCAAGCGTCGAGGACACGGAGCGGAGGGTAATTCGGGAGATAGGGTGCATAGCGCCAGCAGCTATTGCTCTGCGCCGAGGCGCGCTGCCCTGTCAAAAGGCTGGAGAGAGGGAGGACAAGGTAGGAGTAGACACAGATCGGGAGCGTCCAAAAGAGGCGCTTGCAAGCGCGGCCCAGGAGGGTGTGGCCGAGGACGTATTGAAATAAGAAGAGGCGCCACGAAATCTGGGTGGATATCACGGCCCCCGCAATGATACCCCCCCTAATCATCACCCCCCCTCATGGCCGCCCCCGAACGGACCATGAGATCAACGACTGGGAACGAGGACCGCGGACCCGGAAGCCGATGCACCTGCTCGGTGGGCTGTCGCGAGGCCGCCTTGGGCCATCACCGCTCTGGGGATCGTCCAGAGCGGTCATTGGGCCGATGCCCCTGAAGGAGGATAATCTCCTCAGCCGCGGAGGAGGATCTCCTGACAACCTCCACGGACCGCCCGAGCCGCGACCCCCTTGAAGCGCGACCTCAAACTACGGTCAGGCTTTTCTGCTTCGCGAACCGCGGCGGCGGCCCAAGCGACGCGCTATGCCCTGCGCGCGGATGGCGTGTCGCCTCGCTCCGTGGGGCGGCAGGCTGGGAACAGCTCGGGACGCTGTCGCTGAGGAGCGGAGGAGCGGGGACGTGCGAAGCGTGTCGCGCCGAAGCGTGGTGGGCCAGAGCCCGCGGAGCGACTCGCGAAGCACCAGTCCCGACCGCGGGACCTCCCCGCCCGGCCTTCTTCGGAGCGCGGCCACCCGGCTCGGCGGCGCCGTCCTCGTCCGCCGGCGCCCGCGAGGCCTCGGGCTCGCCCTCGGCCATCATGCGGGCGGGGCGTTCCCGCCGCGCCCCGCTGTGGCGGGGACCCCTCGCGCAGCCGCCCGGCGCCCAGCGGGCGCCTTCGCGCTCGCTGGCGCGCGGCAAGGGCCCGCCGGCGCGGGGTGGGCGCCCGCCACCGCGCGAAGAGCGGCGGCCGGCGCCGAAGCGTTCGGCGCCCGCGCCGCCGCGGCGGCCCGAAGCCCGCAGGGGGCGGCCGCGGTAGGGCGGAGCCGCGGGCGCGGCATGCCAGAGCCAGGCTGGCTGCGCGCGGGCCCGTCTCCGCCCTCCCCGCCTCTGTGGCCGATTCCATCCTATACTACTTCCGATTCCGCCATCGACAGCATGCATCAGCAGAGCGCAATGAGGCCAACTCGCTCCTCCTCCTCCTCCTCCTCCTCCTCCTCATCATCCTCCTCCTCCTCCTCCTCCTCCTTCACCTCTCCTTGCCCTTCAAAATAATTCCCCCCTGTCGCACTCCGAGACCGGTCGAAAGGGCGTGCTGGGCGATTCGCCTGATACCTCCCCACAAGTTTGATCCTGCAGCTCGCAATTTGCAAAAGTCTTACGGATTAAGAGAGGGTCGTTTCGAACATGCGGTTATCGCCGCAACACCGCGCACATCCGTCTTCAAATTCGCAACCGTTTCAAGGATGGAGGGCGGCTTCCTTGCGAAATGTGATGTTCCCCTTTGCGCCGCGCACATCGGTTTACAACTTACGAAGCATTTCAAGGATGGAGGACAGGTGGCTTGAACAATGTGGCTCTCGCCGTAGTGCCATGCACGCGCACGCATTCGTCTAACAAAATTGTAAAAGACATTCGTGAATGCAGGGCGGCTTCTTATCTAAATGTGGTTCTCGCCCTAACGCCGCGCACATCCGTTTCAAAACATAGAGGAGTTTCAAGGATGGACGGCAGGTGGCTCTCAGAATGTGGCTCTGCCCTTAGCGCCGCGCGCATTCGTCGCAAGAGTCTATAATGGTTCATCTGATTTATATGGTTTATTTCGAAAACTGTGTTTTGGCACGAGGCTTGACTGCCAGGGCGCAACAATTATGTGGATTCGTGGTATTTAAATCCCCGGAACGGTCTTCTGGCACGATCCAGGGTCGTCGCGACGCAACAGGAGCGGTGATTCGCGGTGTTGAAATCCAAGATCTGGTGTTTTGGCACAGTTCAAGATTATCAAACAAGCAGTTTCCAATGGGGCTCTTCGTTCAGTACAGATAAACCACTGTGGGGGCCTTTGTGAAGATGGAGCTGCGAGGGGCGGTTTATTGTCATACCGTTGAGCAGTCTTGAGTTTACACCAGCCCTCCCCGTGATCCTCAACCTAGTCGTCGCCGTCCACCTCTTCCATCCCTTTCCTTACTTCGGGAGCGGCCAAAGAGGGGGGTGTCCAAGAGGGGGGGGCGCAAATCCTGACCGGCGGCATGTGCGCGGCCCAACGGGGGGGCCAGAGACGTAATGAAATAAGAAGAGGCGCCGTGAAATCTGGGGGGGAACTATCATGGCCCCCGCCATGATATCCACCCCCCCTAGTCATCACCCCCCCCTTTCCCGCCCCCGATTACTGAAGTCGCACCACCAACGCGCCTGCAAGGCAGGCCGAACGTGTCGCTCGAGACCTCATCGCTGCGTGTGGCCCCGACGCTGGACACTGGCAGCGGCTGCACGGATGGGGGCTGGCTCGTGTGCAAAAGTTGCCCTCGCCTTGCCGCCGCATTCGACTGGAATGCGTGCACCAGCTTTAAGTCGGGCCTGTCCCCCTACAGGGGGATCTTCGACGAAAGATACGAAATACCCAAAACATAGCAACAAAAAAAAGTCCCAAAATAGTCTGGGGACTATTTTTGGAATATGTTTTGACCTCTTTGGGGTATTTTTGGGGGTCTGTTTCATTGTTCGTCGGAAATCCCCCTGTAGGGGGACACGCCCGACATAACACCAGCTGCGCGGGTGGAGGCGGTCCACTCTCACGTGCATCTCCCGAACTAGCGCCACGGCGAGCTCGACTGGAAAACTTGCAGCCGTCACGCAGATAGAGGGCAGGCCCTTTTCCCCGCGGGGCTCTCGCGCCCTGCGCCTCGATTGTGCCAGCTTGCACGCGCCAGGCGGATGGAGGGTGCAACCCCTCGTATAGTCAACTGGGGCACTCGCTTTGCAACGCCATGGCTTGAGATGTCTTCAACTTGTGTGACCATCTGTTGACGCGCGCGCCGCCCTTGAAAGCCTGGACGCCGAATCCTTTACAGCGCGGGTCTCTCGCAGGACTCCCACTTGACATTTCAGGCCCTGCCTTTTTGCACATCTTCTAGCCAGGCGGATCCAGCGCAAATCCTTTCCAGACGGGACTCTCGCCGAAACGGCAGGCTTATGGGGCGCTCGCTTTCCAACGGGCGAACTCATCACCCATGTCTGGTACGGCCTCGGGTTGCGCACAGCCAGCCCCTCCAGGTAGTGACGGCGGCGCCCGGGTGCCGAGACCGCCCCAGACTACTCGGGGGGGGCCCGTTGAGGCCCGCCAGGGCCACCTGGGAGGGCTGTGTGCGCACAACCCGAAAACTGACCATCCCCGTCCTCCTCCCGCCTCCTCCCTCGTTCAGCCTCTGGGGCCTCGCGGGCGAGCGCCATGGGCGGCCCTCGGCCGCTGTCTACTCGCCCCCTCGCTGCCACTGCTGCAGATCTCCAACGTCGTGTTTTTTGTTCGCAACCGCGACCCCGAGAAGTCTAGACCCTTTCCTGGGGACAAGCTGTTCATCCCGAGTCGTTCTGTTGACGGCCTGGAAGGCCCCATGGATGCGGAAAATGACGAAAACTGGACATCTTCCGTCGCGACTGCCATCCAGAATGGTCACTCAGCGTGTCACACACCCCGGCTCTGGCCCATCACGCTGCGGCGCGACCGTCTAACCACGCACGACGCCCCCGGTCCCCTGGCGTCGGCGTCCCGAGCTTTTTGGACCTTGCCGCCCCGTGGAGCGGAACGGCACGCTCTCCACTTGCAGGGTGTCTCGCCGGAGACGCCGCAGGACACGCTGAGCCCCGAGGGAGGGGGAGGAGGAAGGAGAAGGAGGAGGAGGAGGAGGAGGAGGAGTAGGAGGAGGAGGAGGAGCAGGAAGAGGAGGAGGAGGAAGAGGACGAGGAGGGGGGGACGGAGGAGGAGGAATGATGAAGGAGGAGGTGGGAGGAGGGAGGGGGAGGGAGGAGGATGGGGGAGGAAGGAGGGAGGGAGGGGGAGGAAGGAGGAGAAGGGGGGATGGAGGATGAGGGAGGAGGGAAGGAGGAGGAGGAGGGAGGAGGGAGAAGGGCGGAGAGAGGAGGAGGGAGGAGTGAGAGGAGGGAGGAGGGAGGAGGGAGAGGATGAAGGAGGAGGGCGTAATTAGGAGGGAGGAGGAGGGAGGAGGGAGGGAGGAGGAGGGAGTTTTTTTGCCCGCTCAAGAACACTGGTCAGAGGCAACCATTACGCCTGCTGCATCCGATTCAAGGCCTTAGCCGCCTGGGAGCGTCCTGGCCGAACCCCTCGCTCGAACAGCTGGAGGTTTCCCAACCCCGACTTGGTCGGAGGGCCACACATCACCGCAAGGCCTCTCAAAACCCCGCTCTCCCTCGCCGAGCACAGCCCGCAAGTTGAACAGGAACAAACTGGAACCTGGGAGGGGGCTCTAGCCGTGTGACTAGGGTGCATGACTCTGTCAGCAACCCTGGCCCCTGGAGGCACAAGGAACGAATTACCTGCAACAAACGTTTCCACCGCCTGGCAGGGGCTCGCCAGCCACTCGACGATATCCTGCTTAGTCATGGCTTTGTCTGAAGTGCAGCCCGATCCGACACGCCTTCCAAGACGATGCTTTTTCCCGAGCGGATCTGCTCTCTGGCTTTTACGGCGCGGGCAGAGGGAGGAGACCCCAGTTTTCGGTCCCGGCACTGCCCCTCCTCGACCGCGCCCTCCTGGGGCCGCTCCTTCGGGCCCCGTGGCCGTCAGAAGCTGGAGCCGGGCGTGGCTGTGGGACGAGGAGGAGTCCGATCCGGGGCGTCCCAGAACGCTCTCAGAGCGTTGCTTGGAGCGCTCTGAGAAGGCCGCGGCGCCCAAGACGACCTCCAGCGCCGCCAGGCCTCAGAGATGTCGGACTCGGTGCTCGTCCACATGTGTCTTCGTCTCGGCTCCGTCTCGTGGTGACGGGGATGGGAGAGCCCCTGCACCTGGGGATAGGGGTGGGCCACGGTCGCCGAGCGCGCTCCACTACTCGCATAGTGCGTACTCGCAAGCGCCCGGCAAACACACACGCTTCTCGACGTAATGGGCCGTGAAGTCCCCGCGGCAGGTCCAGGCCGTTTGCGAGCAGATACCGTGCAGGGAGTGGAGCGCGCTTGTCTACACGGGCCGCAGAGCGAATACAACTCACAGAGCATCGGACGTCTGGGGGTGGCATCAGATCAGGCGCCCCCCTCACGCCTGGCGCACCCACCTTCGCCTCCTCCTCCTCCTCCTCCTCCTCCTCCTACTCCTCCTCTGTTCCAGAGGTGGTCCTGGCCCAAAGCCGGACAGCGGACGATGTGTTTAGTGTGTGCCAGTCTGCGGGCGCAGGTCTCCCGACCGCTGCCCTGCAGTAGATTGCCGTCCTGGGCCATGCTCGATGGCCCCTGGCATCGCTCGGACGTGTGTCTTTTTAATCTTGGCGAAGATCGAGGAGCATCTCGGCTCATCGTGCAACAGAACGGACGCACGAAGCCGACAGATGCACGGAAAGTGGGCGTCCGAGCGACGGCATGGACTCCGGCTCAGTGGGCCCCGGAAACGGCAGGGCCGTTTTTTCACCGTTTCCGAAAACATGTCCCTCGAACATGGAAGCGACAAAAAACGGCGACATGAAACGGCAACAAAAACGGCTCCAGGATTGGAACCGGAGCGGGAATCCGTAAAAAAACTGCGACGGAACCGGTAAAACAACGGCGTCGGAACCGGCAAAGAAAAGGCAAAACGGAACCGGTAAGAAAACGGCCCT